CAAAGGTGTGATAATCAAAACAGCATGGTACTGGCACAAAAACAGACATGGGAACTAATGGAACTGAATAGCAATCCCAGAAGTAAATCCCAAAACATAGAGTCAACAGTTTTCTGATAAAGGACACCAGTCAATTCACTGGGAAAAGGAAAATCTCTTTTGCAAATGGTGCTAGAAATCCTGGGTATCTATCAGCAGAAAGATGGATATGGATCTCTATCTCTCACCATTAACAAAAATCAACTTGGAGTGGATCAAAGATCTAAACCTAAGACCTCAAATTATATAAAATATTGAGGAAAACCCTGGAGAAATTCTGGGAAACATCAGAGTAGGCAAAAAAATTCTTAAATAAGACCCCCAAAGCACAGGGAATAATCTCAAAAGTAGACAAGTGGGAATATATCAGATTAAGAAGTTTCAGCACATCAAAGACTCAGTAATTAATGTGAATTGACAACTCTCAGAGTGGGAGAATATTTTTATAAATGATGCCTCAGATAAGGGACTGATAATCAAAATAAACAGAGAACTCAAATGGCTTACCTGAGAAATAATGATCAACCCAATTAAAAGATGGGAAAATCAGCTAAGCAACTCTCCAAAGAAGACATATGAACAGCCAAAAAACATGAAAAAATGCTCAACATCCCTCATCATAAGAGAGATGCAAATCAAAACTATAATAATATACCACCTAACTCTAGTCAGAATGGCTAAGATTACCAAATAAATAAATTAATTAAATAAATGCTGGCAAGGCTGTGGTGAAAAGGGAACTCTCCTACACTGCTGGTGGGAATATAAATTAGTCTGGCCACTGTAGAAAACAATATGGAGGTTCCTCAAAGATCTACAAATAGAACTACCATATGATCTAGGAATTCCACTCTTGGGTATCTGCCCAAAAAATAGAATGCTTATTCAAAAAAGTGCTTGCATGTCTATGTTTATTGTGACATTATTCACAATTGCTAAGACATCGAATCAACCCAAATGTCCATGAACAGATAAATGAATTGAAAGAATGTGGCACATGTACTCTATGGAATACTAGTCAGTCATAAAAAAAAAAAAAAAAAAAAAAAAAAACACCGCCCTGCATTCGATAGAAAGTGGACAAATATGGAATATTTACTGCTGGGTGAAACAAGCCAGGCTATGAAAGACAGAAGTTGTATGTTTCCACTTATTATACACCAGCTGTCCACACTTTATGGTGGAAACTGAAATATTAGAGGACATCGATGCATGGAAAATGGTTACAGGCACTGAGAAAGTGTGGGAAGAGGATAGGAGAAGGGGGAGAGTGTGAGGAAAGGATCAAGGAAGAAAATAGAGGCAAGACATTTACGGGACACAGAAATGGATGATTATCTGCTGATGATAGCTTATATAGTATCTTCAACTGGTGTGGTGTGGAGTAATTCATGCTAGGTAAATTCACTTTTAAGCAATAGTGATATATAGTGATTGATTGTAAAAAAGAAATAGAAATATTTATAAATAATTAGCCTACATAATTATAACTTTGAACATGATGTTTATTACAAAATCTTATTGTGTTAGATTAAAAGAGACCAGTAAATGGCATAATAGTTATGTCACTGGACTCCCACATGGCTAACTGTAGTTCAAGTCCTGGACCCAGAGGCCTGAAACTCAAGGTGGGTGCATGTGCATGTGTGACCCAAATCCCAAGACAAGAATGGAGAAGGTAGGATTATGGCATGACTATCCCTCCTGGGAGTTGATTTCTCACTTTCTGGCTCTTTCTCTCTCTCTCTTCAGCAAGAGCACATGTCCTAAGCAAGAGAAAAAGTCCAATAACCAAAAAAAAAAAAAAAAAAAAAAAAAAAAAGAAAGAAAAAAAAAAGGAAAAAGAATTAAATAATATTTATATTTGAGGGGCCAACAGGTGGCATGTCTTAAATCACTGGATTCCCACATGGCCAACCATGGTTCAAGTCCTAGATCCAGTGGCTTGAGAATCACTCCAGGTACATGTGTGTGCATACTCAAAATCTCAGGAGGATAATGGAAGAGGAATTGCAGCATGGCCAATCTTCCTGGGGGTTGAGTTCTCAATTTCCCTCTCACTGTCTCTCTCCAGTGTGTGCACATACTCTATGGCAAAAACCTAAAAAAAAAAAAAAAAAAAAAAAAAAAAAGGGAAAAATAAAGCATATTTTCAAACAGTAAAACCACTGAACTTAGTAACTTAAAATACATAAAAATGTAAAATGTTTTAAGGTAAATTTCAGAATGGCATTATATAATAGGTTGAAATATTCAAGAGAGCTAACTGAAATACCTTTTAAAATGGAAATGCATTAAGAGGTAGGCCCTTGTTTATACTGTGGGAGCAAATATTGATTTTGTAGAATTGTGAGTCCAACCCAAACTTTTTATATTTTCATAAACTGGCAAGGGTAAAAGAAATAAAGAAAAGTAGTGAGAGGGTCCCAACTAGATGAGCAAAAATCAATAATTAACGACGTGTTTAAAGTGATACCAACCTGTTTTTCTATCACTGATGTCACTAAGAGATGCAAGCCCAAGGATTCTCAAACTTCACTTGCATCGGGATTATGAAGATACTTTTTATTGAGTTGTTCGGAAAGTCACGACACATTTTTGCATAGAAGAATACAGAAAAATGCTTCATGACTTTCACAAAAACCTAATAAAAAACAGATGTTTAAGTCCCACCTTAGAGTTTCTCATTCAATTAAATACTGATGTTCTTTTAAAGAACTCTATCTGACTTTTAAAGTAAGTTAATAATCATCACTACTTTGACCTATTTAAAATATAATAAGTCAATTCTTTCAAAATGATTAATGACAGGCCCAACCACGGTGGCACAACAGGATGGTACCACTGCACAGAGACTGAGGACACGTGGAAGACCTGAGTTATTTTAGCCTAATCTGAACAGTCCAGGCATGGTGGCAACATGCCTGCAATATTTGGCGACTAGGAGGTGGTTCGGATAGGAAGATCATGACATGGTGACACTTTGTCAAAAATCCTACCTCTTTTAGGGGCCAGACAGTGGTGCAATGGTAAAATGTAACACTATCAGTCAATCTCACACAGAATAGTTTCCAGTAGACTCCCCTGAGAGTTCTGAGCATATGGGGCTGGGTGACACAGGGGTGGATTGCCAGGCCAGGATCCTATTGGGGTGCTGTCTCTCTTTCTCTGTCTCTCAAGATCATGGGAGAAATAAATAAAAAATTTAAAAAATACTTCCTACCAACTCTCCAGATACTGGCTGTTTCCCATCCCATTTCATTTAGCCCAATTGGGTCTGATAACATTTCTGTGTGTGCTAGTAGATGTGTATGCTCACCAGAGGAAGAGAGAGAGAAGAAAAACCTCTCCTCCCCCCGCCTCTGTATGGAATATGGTCACACTGCAATCCCTTTTCCTCCATCTTTCCTGTTCAAAGACTCAAACCACACAGTCAACCATGTGAAATCTAACTATCATTAACCACCAGTCCACCAAGCCTGATAATTCTGATAATCTGATTCTGATCATCTGATTTTGATAATAAAATCAGTAGAAACTTCCACATTATAAAATATTTACAAAGTAACACAGCATCATTTTTGTAAACTGTGTCTGACAGTAATCAAAACTGATTCCATGACAAATAGAGGTCAAAGAGTATCAGTCAACCCCCCAAAACTGCTTTTTCTAATAGACATTATTATTTACACAAAAAGTACTAGTTTCTAGAAGCTGACCAGTAACACAGTGGTAAAACAGTGTTCTTCAAGGCTGACCCACGTGTAAACATTCCCAGTTCACATCCAGAGAGCTCCCTAAGACACACAGGTACCCACGATCTGGCTGACTGAAGCTGCGGGTAGATCATATCATTGGGACCTCATTCTAGGTTCTCTTTTTCTCTCTTTTGGTCTCTCACCCATTAAAAAAATTAATCAAATTAAAAATAAATAATAAGTGCAAGTTTCCTATTAAATTAATATTAAATAAAGTCCTTTCAGCCAAATAAAAGTTAAAAAATACCTTGACTGAAGCCAACCCATGGATGTGGTCTTTGAGGCGGCTGGATTCCCCAAAGCCAACCATGTGGTTGGAGTCCTGGATCTATTAAATGTTCACAGAAAATGCATATTGTGAAAAAGTAGCAGGAACTTCAAACATTTTTTGTTCCAAAATTATGTCTGTACTTTAATTCCATTTTCCATAAACCTTCTGAATTCCCCTTACACATAAAGCAGAGTACATTTTCAGTTTCAGTATGGTTCTGTGGTAGAGCCAAATATCGTGTTATGAAAGAGAATGAACAACAGGAAGACCTCCTATGTCATAGATTCAACTTCTGAAAAGCAATATATGTTTAAAATGTGTATGACATATCATACTGAAGCCACATCTACAGATTATTATCTAACAATCACAGAAAAATATGAACCGAGTCTCTGCTGAAGTCTAGGTGTGGGAACTAAGCACATGGAATACCAAAGGGCTTAAGACTAACCCTTTCACCAAAGAAAGAAGGAGGGGAGGAGGAAAGAAGGAAGGGGGGGAGAGGGAAGGAAAGCAAAGAAGAAAAGGAAGTACAGAAGAAAGGGAGGAAGTGAGGGAAGAAAGACAAACTGGTTTCACTTTTCAGTTTTGGAAAAAATAAAACAAATGAAAATAGTGAAATAATTTGAAAATATTTGTCAACCTTACTACTGGTCAAAGTGATTCCATTAGAAAAATTCCATTATGGAGTCGCGATATGTTAATAAAAAGACATGTTTGCAATGTCGCACATCTTCCATGCTTTCAGAGTTAAGTACAGCCTACAGAACAGCAGGTATAAAAGAGGAAGCACTTTTCTCAAGAAACTGAGAAGCTTTGGCAAGAAAACCACGATAGACCATTAAGAACTGTGCTATCCATGCTTCTGTTCAAAAGGGCTCTGATCGTCATCCCTCTCAGATTTGGAAGCTATTCATCCCATTAAGGGAGGGAAATCTGTCAACCTCCTCCTGCCGCAGCTGTTCAGATTATAGAGCAAAGGGCAGCCGTCAACATGAGCAGGGAGAGCCCAGAAGTTACATACCCACGCAAACAGAGCACAGAGAGCGGCAGAGGAAAGAAAATGCTCACAGCTTATTTTTAATGCCAGAAATGTAAGAGTATCTTTGTTACTATCACTAAACACAGGCTTTGATTCCTTGTTTCCATAACTTGTGATTGGTGAGTTATTTTTACATTTATCTTAACGATATTACACCCTGTTCTGAGATTTGAGAGGACATTTTCCTGCCTGTGAAACAAACAAGTCTTCTCTCTGACTCCATTTCTCCCCTGACCTTGGAAAGGCTGAGCAAGAGAATAGTCTTAGTTGTATATTAACCTGTATGCCTAAGATCATGTGGGTAGAAGTCAGGCTTTGTTAACACTGAGGAATTTCTGACCTGTTTGGGTTCAATGTTATTTAGTGACTTTAATGACTTTTATTTGTCCTGTGGAAAGACGCAAATGCGAACTTCAAAATGTGAATTGTGAGGGGAAAGTTCTCAAACAAATGTGCCTGTATTTACAACCTTGAAACCATACACCTGAAATTAGTGTTGACAAAACTCCACTTGGATAGGTGAGTAAAAATTAATGGAACATGATTCATCATGGATATCAAATATTCAAATTAATAAAGAGCACAGTCAAGTAGACATAATTATTATATTCTTCAATTGTTGCCTGCATGCTGCAGTGGACAGAAGGATTTGGAATGTGTCCTTTATTGTGCCATGCTGGTTTGGGCACTAGCAGGGGAATTAAGGATTCATGCCTCTACATAATGATAAATGATTAGCGCTGTGAAAGTAATTGAACTCCGTTCTAGACAATCCCTTGCACTGTCAGCAAGAAGCTGGAGCAAACTGTGTCATTTAACAGAGTTATGCTGTAAGTGAGAAAAACCTCTGATCTGTGCACAATTAACTTTCTAATAATTTTTAGGTTCTCAAGATTAAATGAGAGAGTTAATATAATAGACCATGTAAATGTGTATCAGTGATAGAAAGCAATGCAAAGGCACTAAAAAGGATGGGAACGTTAAAGATATTAACAATTGCTCTCAAATTTAATAAGAGACAGGTGTCAAGCTGTTAAAAGGATGATTGTTGCAACTGGAACAGCTGAGGATGGTAAAAGCACAGCTGTTGCAAAGATTAATTGTATAGTAACAGAGAATACTTGTTTCACTGTGCACTCTGCTAAGCTAAATTATATTGCATGAGCTCATAAACTACCCTGGAAAGTGAAGGACTAAGGGTATTCACACTTATTTTACTTAAGAAAATACTATCACTCCAATTATTTGTCATCATTTTATGCCCTCAAAATTTTAGCAAACTGGCTTTACTGTTTATGAAGTTTCTCAATTTTCTGTATTAAATCTATCAAAATCTCAATAACCATTTATGAAAACCATACAATTGTGTTACACTGCATTAACTTCAAAGTGATCACATTTTGAAAGTAATATGTTCTCCTTGACGTTCACTGGTACCTTTTATTCTGGGAGATTAATTAATCAAAATGTTATTGTATCAATGCAGAATAATGAGTTGTATTTCAGGCATTTCTGTAATTAGATGACTGCTCTGCCTGAATAGGGGCTGCACTGTGGTTCAGTTTCAGACTCACTCTGACTTCTAAGGGGAAAAAAGGAAAGAAAGGGAAATTGTTTCATGTTATTCTCAAATTTTCTGTTTGTTACAAACCAAAGATATCTAATATTCTCTTGTACAGCATAGACTAGAGGACAAAAAGAAGGGGAAAATGACCAAACTAGAAACAATATTTATGGCTGCTGCTGCTATTTCTTACTAAAGAGTCCATGAGTGAAAATGGATTATACACATTTATTCACAACTTTCTGAAGAGTATGTGTTCCTTGGTAGTACTGGTGTTATGGAGTGAGTTTTCTATTTATAATATTTTGTTCTGATAAATTATAAAATCCTACTTTCTCACCTATCTAGTCAACAACATTTCGTGTGAGTTATATTCACACTGGTCAGTGGATATTAATTCTACCAAAGATGTGGATTAACCATTGAAATATTATTTTATTTGAGCTGATAAATTGCTTTGAGAATTAATTTCAAATATTAGTTCTATTCAACTTTGAAAACTTTTCTATGTGTTTAATTTATCTTTAATGGCTAGTTAAAGAGACATTCTTCTCCATAGCGATATTGATATTTAATTGGTCAGACACAAGATATTAGCCCTTTTTTTGTTAATAATTGCAAAAGGTTTGTTTCTGCCTGGATAGACTTAAACAAAATATTAATTTCTTATTTTTAAAGTTAATTTAATACTGAAGAATTCAGTGCTTCTGGTTTTTATTCTTTGGGTTTTGTTCTGCTTTGTTTTTGTTTGTTTTGGGGTTTTATTGGAGTGAGGTTGCTATGCAATTAGGCTTCCACTAGTCTTTAATTACCACTGACCCATTCAGTTTGGAACTATGGTTTGGTAGACACTCTCTGGCTGGTTGCCTAATGAGATTCATATTTGAACAATCAAAGAAACCAGTGTGAAATGATGATAAATTTTGATAACACTCCTTAGAAAGAAGGAAAATTAAAAAGAACTGTGTCAAAGACACAGTTTCATACTTGTTGTAAACATGCTATATCCCATTCTTTCAAAAGTATTTTCACTCTTGTACATTCTAAAATCCTAATCTAAGGTAGCAAATAAAATAATTTAAAGAAAAAAATGACATTGCTGCTGGAAAATTGTCAAGGGCATGTCTTCGGGCTGACATCAACATGTTGAGAGGGTGAATCTGGCATATTTAACAATGTACTGCAACGAGGTGAAATTTCTAATATCTTCACCATTGAAATGTATACAACAGCTTCTCTGGATCTTTTTTTTTTTTCTCAAAGTAATTGTCAATTGAACTAATGAGCTTAAATTCTTAAATAAGTTTACAGATGTATTAAAGTACATATGAGTATCAAAGAATACTGTTCTATTCAATGCTAGAATTATGACAAATCTCAGAAAAGGGGGGGAGGACATGAGGTTGAATACTATTGAAAAGAAGCAAGAAAATTCAGAATTTGGACTATGTAGTATGTCAATAACAAGGAAAATGGTGAGGCATTTAGAAACCCCTGTAGTTTTTTTTATATGTTCTTGTGTTTCTCCCTTATTTTTATTCATTAGTTGTTTACTTCCCTTCCCTTCCCTGTCCTCTGCTTCATGCTTATTCCCAAAGTGTGCCAAAGTCATAAGAATAGGTTGTTTGTTTTTCCTATGATTCTATGTCCTGTGGTGTCCAAAAAATTGTCTTTCATTTAAAGAGCTCACAAATAAGCTTAAATGAATTGATCAGATGAATTCTCACGTATTCAAAGCTGAAGAACAAAAGTACAAGATAATGTACAGAAACCAAAAAGGAAAAAGATATTCCAAATGCGGTAGGGAAAATAAACAGGAAATAAAAGAAAACATCAACTTTTCTAAAAGATAGAAAGAAGCAAACAGGTTTTAGGATGGTTGCAGCTATTGCAGAACCAAGACATTTATTTTATTTAATATACAAATGTTAGTCAAGCACTAGGTAGCATGATGCACATTTGGGGACAACAATGAGTAAGACAAACATCTCTCCTGACCTCTCACAGTTTGTTGCCTGGTGGAAAACCTAAAGAAGGAAATAAACATTGTCCTTGTGTAGACAGTAACGTGTGGATGAAAGGTGAGATGGTCAGCCAGGACTTCTGGAAATAGATGACATTTGTTCTGAAATCTCAAAAGTAAGGAAAAAAGGACAACTGTTCAAAATGTGGGAAGAAATACATTTCAAGCAGAGCGAGTATGTGCCAAGATTTGGATGTAAGAGAAAGCTTGAAATGTCCAAGGAACTAGAAATAAAAGCCAATGAGGCTGGAGGAGTGAGAAAGAATTTGATAGAAGTTGAAGTTGGAGAAAGATAATGTAGACCTTTGACATCAAGCTAAAGATTTTATTCCAAGGGCAATGGGAGATTCCTTCCACTTCTTTCAAGTACACCAAAGGTCATAATCTACTTTAACTTAAAAGAAAAAATATAACAATAATACCTCCCTGGTTGCTGTATAAAGATAAGATTTTAGGGAAATAAGAGGGGATCAATTAGCAAATCATGCCAGTATCCCTGATCAGAGATGATAGAAGCCCCAATTTGGGCAATGACAAAGAAAAGTACAGCTCTTTCATGTACAGAATGTGCAGAAGAATTGGGTGGTGGAGACAGGACTGAAGAAAGTAGTAAACTAGGGTTGAACTTTAGGTTTCTGGCTTCAGACACTTATGTAAAAGGTAATGTATTTACTGAGACAGAGAAGTCAATAAAAAGGGGAAAAAACAAGTTTGTATGGAAGAATGAATCAATAGTGTAATTTCAGATATGTTTGTATAGAGATGTCTATTGAATGTCCACGTAGACATGTCTGTATAGATAAATTTGGATATCAGAGGAGATGTTTGTCTGAAGTATTAATCCAGAAATCATCTGCACAATATGGTGTTTAAGGAAATAAAAATGCATGAGATTCACTAAAGAGAAAAGGGATAAAAGGAAAAGAGACAGAGGTAAAGATCCAAGTATCACCAACAATTCAAAATGCCAAATCCATGGCCGAAAGGTGTTTTGTTTCTGCCATAGGCTGAACCTCCTTAGACACTTCCAACTGAATCAGACACATGAGCAGATACATGTAGATACATGGTCTTTTTTTCTTTTTTGTAATTTTTTAAAGAATTATTTTATTTAACTTTATTTGTTTATTTTTAATTTGACCAGAGAGAGACAAAGTAAGAGAGAGAGAGAGACAAACAGAAAATGAGAAGGCAAGTTACCAGGTCTGAGACTTGGTCATTTGGGAGTCCAGTGCAGGCCCCAAGGGTATGGTCTTCCTAACGTCTTCCAAAGGGAACAAGAGATTCATTCCTGAGACTAGCAGATAGTGTAATGGTCATGTCACTGGACTCCCATATAATTGACTGAGGTTTGAGTCCAAAACCTGGTGGCTTAAAACTCACACCGGGCACGTATATGTGTGTTCCCAAAATCCCGAGAGGAGAAGGGAGAAGGGATTGCATCATGGCCATCCCACCATGGGGGTGATTTCTTGCTTTCTGTTTCTCTGCCTCTCTCACCCTATAGCAAAAATCTCTCAAAAAATGCCAGG